TTGTAGTTTTTCTTGGTTTAATTCTTTATGTCTGTAGCCAAGATTTTCAGGAGGTCTCCCCTAATTAAAGCCTTTCAGGTCCAACTCCAAGACTCTCTTCAAGGTTCAGACTGGATGCTACAACAAGTAAAAGGTACTGTTTTCTTTGCGTATCCGAGGATGAATGAACAGACTCTCTCACACTGTGCTTTTCCGAATCGGTCTCTTTATTCTTCTGTCTCTATTCTAATTCTCCTGTCCTACTTTTAATTTCTCCTAGCTTCTTCTCTTTCTAGCCTAAAAAACTCTCCACTTTACAGGAGGCTTGGAACAATAATAATAAAAAATCACAAGAGTTATATCTCATTGGTCAAATTCACATCCCTTGGGTAATCGAATAAGAAGCCGAGCCATTTACCATGGCAACACAAGGATTTCAAGGCTTCAGGAGTAAGACTGTAACCAGACCAGGAGGCAGGGGACACAATGCCCAGAGACAAACTTGAGACATAGGTCTATTGTCAGCAGACTTGGCAAGCAAATAATTGGCATGTTTTTCTTTGGGTACTTTGTTCAGCAACCTTGGTTAACCTTGATTGACCTTGTGCATAGTTGTAAAGTTTTAAACTTATGATCTATTTACAAAAAGCCTTTATTCTAGTTTGAACTTGTTCTGAGGTAAAAATGAGCTAATTGAGTGCAGTCAGTCTGCAAAAGGAACAAAGCAGGCTTTTAAGTGTCTACAGTCCTTGTGGGACAAATAGATCTAGTTATGAAGCATGTCCTAATATATTTTCTATACATCAAAACCATAATTACAGTTAAAAGTAATCTTCCTGATCACCCACACATATATGTGCCCATAAGTTTGAGATGCAGTCATGAGATTACATACATGGAAATGCATGGTAATGGGAGATATCATAGCTGTTGCACAGTTTTCAGAGTCTTCAGGCCCTGCCTGGCAGGGTTCCTCCATCTGAGAATAATTTCTCTGATGGGTTGACATCTGAATTATCAATTGCTATAAACTGTAATTGCATCATGGCCTACAATAGCTTGTAATAAATGCTTCTGATATTCCCCCAATCAAAACTGGTCCCCCAATCAAAACTCTATTAACCTTGAAGGAATCCACAGACTTGTTTCCTATGAAAACAGAAGAATAATGTCTCCCCCAAAGCAATACATTTTCTGACTTCCATTTTAAAGTTAAGACATCCCTAAAGTTATCTAGGCTGGCCTAATTCAGCAGTCCTGTTTACAACCCAACGTCTCTCAGCAGCTTTCACTTGACTATCACCATTCAAAAAAATTTAAAGTCAACACAACACCATACAGGATCTAGATTCCCTGTGAATTTCCCATATGTACCTGCCTTATTCTTTTATAATACTTTACTCTCTATTTATTTTATTATTTATAAACTATTTTTTCTATGCCTGTCTATATCCATTTTCTTATGCACATTTTTCAACACATTGCAATCTGTTTACAGGATTTTTCTGTCTGGACCTGTCTTTATTGCATGTCTCTATTTTCTGACTGTGTAAGTCAAACCTTAAACTGCTAAGCAGCTTTGCACTGGCGGCTGGCTCTGCCCCACTCAGGTCCATGAAAGCCAAGCTTTATGGCCTCGAGCTGCATTCAACTGGGAGCTGCATTCAACCCTCCCCCTCAGCTCTGGACTATTGGTGCTCAGATGTTTTTACTTATCTTGCTATTGCTACTTGGCATACTGGTCACTGTAGACAGAGCCTCTTAAAGAAACCTTGTCTGGTTTTTTTTGGGGGGGGGTTGGTTTTTTTCCAGATTTCTTAGGCCATATGTGGAAATTTAAACAACACAATGGGACCACCAATGTAACATATTTTCTTTTGGCTCCCAAATCATAGCATGGAGACTTCTTTTTGTTGTTTGCTTTTTTTTGAAACAGGGATTCTCTGTGTAACAGGCTGTCCTGGAACTCATTTTGTAGACCAGGCTAGCCTTGAATTCACAGAGATCCATCTACCTGCCTGTGCCTCCAGAGTGCTGGGATTGAAGGAATGCGCCACCACTTCCCGGCAAGACTTCTTATTGGTTATGAATGTTCATCGTTATCTTATGCTTGTCCCACTAGTTCCTATAACTTATTTTAAGCTGTTTCTCTTCATCTATGTTTTGCCTTGGGGCCTTTTACCTTTCTTTCCTTCTGTGTGTCTTACTTTTCCTGTTTCTTCCCTGTCTGGCTGGAGGGCAGGTTGGCTGGCCATGGGCGTCTCCCTGTCTTTCTCCCTTGTTCTCTCTCCCTTCTCTATCAAGCTTAGATTCCTCCTTCTACTTATTTTCTCTGCCTGCCAGCTCTACCTATCTCTCCCCTGCCTAGCTATTGGCCATCCACTTTTTAGTAAACTAACCAGGTGTCTTAGTTAAGCAAGGTAAAACAGCAACACATCTTTACATAATTAAACAAAAGGAGCATAGACAAATGTAACACACCTTTACATAAAGTAATATTCTGCAAGATACATGTTCCTACTAGTATGGTCCATTAAGCCTCAACTGCTTTTCTAGTCCAAAGTTCCAAAGTCCACACTGCTCCACCAAGCAGCCTTGCCAGGCTGTCACAGCAATACTCTGCTCCCTGGCACCAACTCCTGTCCTAGTCAGTGTTCTCTTGCTGTGAAGAGACACCATGACCAAGGCAACTTTAATTGGGGTCTTGTTCAAAGTTTCAGAGGCTTAGTCCATTGCCATCATGTCAGGAAGCATGGTAGCACACGTGGCACTGGGCTACATGCCAATCCACAGGCAGAGAGAGGGGTGGGGCCGGCATGGGCTTTTGCAACCTCAACTCCCAACACCAGAAACACAGGTTTTTCAACAAGGCCACACCTCCTAATACTTTCAAACTGTCCCCCTTCTTGGTGACTAATCATTCAAATTTATGAGCCTATGAGAGCCAACACACCTAGTGAGGAGCTGGGGACATGGCTCAATGGTACCTGCCTAGAATCACACAGTGAAAGACAGTTTTGGAGCCCCTGCCTAGCACTCACAAATCCTTAGGTTTGATTCCAAATACTGGGGGAAAAGGGTATTTACTAATTTGTTAGATTCAAGAAGTTCTCTCCTTGACAGCATCTCTATGGCTTCCTATGTATCCCGGAGGACGATGGAAAACACCTGTTCACCAGAAAACTTAAGAGTATTAGACTGGCATTAAGGGTGTGTGCCACCACTACCAGATTTACTGTAGGAATTTGTTAAGTTTTATAGTTTGTATGTGAAATGTCCCTACTGGCTCACGTGTTTGAATACATGATACCAGTTGGGGTCGCTGTTTTGCAGGCGATGGGATCTTTTGGGGAGGGGTCTAGCTGGAGGAAGTGAGTCACATGGGGGCAGGTCTCCAGAGTTATAGTTCTGCTCCCAGGTCCTCAGAAATAGTCATTAGGCTTAAATCAAAATGTCCCAATACCAGTTTGTCAGCACCACCTGGTAAGAATTTAAAATACTAGGACTGCTTGAGCCCTAGTGGCAGAGATTTTTGTTAAATGGGCGGTGGGTACAGCTAGCATTGAAACCCCACCCCCAGTGGAATAATAAGGTCATCTTGTTCCTCTTGCTAAGTAGGATGAGGCAGACAACTGAGTGTTTGCAGTTGAGATGAGAGAAGAGGACATCTGGGGAGCTCTAAGAATGAAGACTTTTGAAAATGATGGTTGAAATTATGGCAGCTACCTGGTGACCATTAGGTAGTCAAGATGGTATGCCAAGGAAATGTATCTCAAATTCAAACTCTGGGAGATGAAAGAAACTGGGTCCCTGATGGTGTCACTAAATTTAATCTCTCTCTGCTTTTTGTGTAGGACAATGCCATTCCTACTCTTTACAGTGTAAGTCTCTGTCACTCAGTATTTGGGAAGTGTGTGAACTGTGCTGAAAGGGGCTACAAGCCTAGGGCTGATATGAGCAAGAGACAACCCTGGTCTGTCTGGCTGTTAGCAAGACTCCCTGGAACCAGGTTGGGTCCAGGTGGAGCAGAGAGACTAAAGACAGGGAGGTAAGGTCTCTATTGGAGACAGTAAGAACTATGGACGGGAGGGAGGGGGACCCAGAGACAACCAGAGGTCAGTAAGATAAAGATGATGGGCTGTGGGGCGGGACACACACACACACACACACACACACACACACACCACGGGCAGGGGAACGTATATACACACATATATATGTGGGAGAGGCTGGGGTAGAAGATTGGCACCTGGGGTCTGGTTCAGTATCTGGGTTAGTGGTGAGGCCATTTGAAAATAAGAACAGGGAACTGAGAAGGTCATGAAGACCTTGAACTATTGTGCAAGACCAAGGAATGAAGCTATCTAGGGGAGAAATGGACTGAGAGGCATTGTTGATGCCCAGGAAGCTCATGGGAACTGTAGTTCTTGGCTCAGAAATATTAGCCAGGACACTGCAGCATTTCATGGTAAATTCTTTGTAAATCGAGGGTGTTTGCCATGGAACTGCAGAGGGTGATGGGAAATGGAGTACTAAACACAAAATATTAGCTAGGGAACTGCAGTGTTTCATGGGAAATGTAGTTTTGAGCCCAGAAGTAGCGTTCAGAGCGTGGCAGAATTTCGTGTAAAAAGACTGTTAATCAGCCCAGTAACTGCAGAGGCTGGTGGAAAATACAGTACTGGACCCAGAATACTGGCCAGGGACCTGCAGAATCCTATGATAAATGTAGTTTGTCGTCCCTTGACTAGGGAATCTGCAAGGCCTCCTGGGAAATGTAGTTTTGATCCCAGAATATTAACAAGGGAGCCTGGTGGAAAAGTAGTTATGAACCCGGGGAACTGCAATGTCCTCTGAGAGATGTAGTTTGGGGCTTACCACACTGGAGACTTGCAGAGCCCCGAGAGCAATGTAGTTCTGTAACCAGGGTCTCAGCCAGGGAACGGCAGGGCCTCCTGGGAAATATGTAGTTCAAGGCTCGAGGACCAACTGCCGGTTGGCCTGCCCCGCGGCTTGCTCACCTGCATCCCTGTGCGAGCCGGGGATTCCCAGGTTGGGAGAGCTGAGCGTCTCCACCTCTGGCTGCATCCTGGAGAGGCGGGTCGGAGGAGGTCCAGGAAGATGGGGTGGAGTGCTCACACAGGGCCACACACCCCAGCTCTTTCCCTCCGCTCCTGCTTCTTGCTCTTTGAAACCACGTGTGACAAACACGGAACTGGAAGGCTGTGACCACAAGGACAGGCGCGTTCCCCTAACCTCAGGGACTCGGTGTGCGCCCCAGTCCCTGCATCCTTTCATCTCTGCTTCCTTCCCCGTCTCTCCCTGTCTTCTGACATCTCTTTCTGAAACCCTCCTGCCCCATCCCTGTCCTCGGTTCTCCCCCCATTTCTCTACCTCCCTCCCTCCTAACCCCATGCCCCAGTTGCTCTCTGCACTTCTCCCAGAAGTCTCACCCCTGCTCCCCATCTCACTGGTCTCTCCCTCCATCTCCCCAGCCTTCTCCATCAGCCTCCGCAGCACCTCCCCAGCCCCGTGGATTGCCCCCTCTTCATTCTTTGGAGTTTCTCCCCAATCCTGTCACCCTCTCTGAGCCTTCCTACTTCCCCTTCTCCCAGGCCGATTCCTCAGCCTTTCTTCCATAGCTGCTGCTGTCTTCACCCCCGCCGCCCCGCCCCACCCCTCTCTCATCCCCTCTCTGTGCCCACTTGCCCTTTGCTCATCCCCACTAGACACCTGGAGACAAACAGAAACTGAGTTCTCAAGGGGGGAGGGGAAGTTGGGTTGGGCCTGGTTACCATGGTGCCACGAGGTGGGGAGGAGGGGAGAGGACTGGGGCCATATTTCTGAATGTGGGAAAAGTGGAACTGAGGGCCAGGACTGGAGGGAGGCTTTATGCAAGCAGGAGCCTGTTAGGCCATCCTGTGTGGATATGGAAGTTTCACCTATGCTCCCTGCAGGCTCCTCCTTTGTATCTTTTTGTTGTTGTTTTTGTTTTTGTTTTTGTTTTTTTCGACACAGGGTTTCTCTGTGTATTTCTCTGTATTGCTTTGGAAGCTATCCTGGCACTCGCTCTGAAGACCAGGCTGGCCTTGAACTCACAGAGATCCGCCTGCCTCGGCCTCCTGAGTGCTGGGATTAAAGGCGTGGGCCACCAACGCCTGGCCCCTCTTTGTATCTTGTATCTCCCCCTTAATTATTATTATTATCCCCCCCTTTTGAGGCAGTTGGCCTCTGTAGCCCAGGCTGCCCCTCACCTTCCAGCTGCAGAAATGTGTCACCACACCCACTGAGAGTGGAATACCCACTCTCCATTCCCAGGTGGCCTTTGTTATGTTGTCATTCCTAACTCCTTCCTGGGTTTGCAAATCAACCCAGATTCCAGTGCCAAGGAGTCTCATTCTCTTTCTCTAACAGTGGTCCTGGTGTGTCACTGTGCAGATACAGAACTTGTTTTCGATCAAAGACAGGTGGAGGAGAAGAAGCCAGCTTTCCAATGATTGGACCCAGCTGTGCCTGAAGCTCAAAATTCCCTGTTAGGAATGGAGAAACTTGAACTTCAGTTTAGCTGGTTTTGTTTTGGGAGAGTTGGTGTTTTGTTGTTGTTGTTGTTGTTGTTTTCAACACAGGGCTTTTCATGTAGCCCTGGAACTTACTATGTAGACCAGGCTGGCCTTGAACTCACAGTCATCATCCTGCTTTCTGCCTCCTGAGTGCTGGGATTAAAGTTGTGCCCCATTATTGGCAATTTAAAAAGTCCATACTTTTAATGGTCTCAGTCAATCTTCTGTGGCCATGACTTTCAATGTTCTGAGAGAGAGCAAGAGAGAGAGAGACAGAGAGAGAAGAGAGCGAGCGCTTGGCTACACTGGCCCTTTCCTTCCTCTCATTAAGCCACCTTCTTTACTTCCAGTTCTGTAGGACAAGGAGCTTCACTGACTGCCAAAACCCTCATGTTAGAGGCGTGTGCAGTGAGTGAGTGAATGAGTGAGTGAGTGAGTGAGTGAGTGAGCACCTCCATGTCTAACAATGGAGCCCCAGCCCAGCGGGCTTTGTGGAAGAAGAGACCAGGCAGGGCAGCCTGGAATGCTGTGCAACCTGAGTCACTAATTAAAGAAAAGATTTACTTGGTCTTACAGTTCCAGAGGGATAGGAACAGCAAGCTAAAAGCTCACTTCTTAACCGCAAGCAGGAGACAGAGAGCTAACTGGGAATGGCCCAAATATTTGAACTCTCAAAGCCTGCTCTGAGAGACACACTTCCTCCAGCAAGGCCACATCTAAACTACCTGGGGATCCAGTATTCAATGCCCAAGACTAGAACCATAACTCTTTCTGCCAGTGGCCTGAGTTCCACTGCCACATTAGGGCCCCCAAATAACACACAGAGTCTTATATTATTTACAATGCTGTTGGCCAAATGACTAGGATTGCTAGCTCTGTCTTAAGTATCAACCATAACCATTAATCTATATATTTTATAAAGACTTATCTTACCAAAGACGCCGGTGGCATACATCCTCTCTTGCCAGGATCACATGGCTACTCCTGTCTTTACTACATTTCCCAGAATCATCCTCGACTCCTAGCCCCACCTATCTTGCTTTCCTATTGGCCAACAGTACTTTATTTATTAACCAATAAGAGAGACATATACACAGAAGGACTTCCCCCATCACAAGACCTTGGGGGAATATCTCACTCAAACCTGATATTCTCTGGGATCAGTTTCCTCATCTCTTGCTAGGGACAGTGGCTCAGTGAAAGTCCTCTGTCCTGGTCAGCTTTAACTGTCAAGTCCACACAGTTTAGAGTCATCTGAGAGAAGCCTCATTTGAGGAATTAACGAGCTTAGGTTGGCCTGTGGGCATGTCTGTTGGGGCTTTCTGGATTGTTAATGGCTGTTGCAGGACCCAGCCCACTGTGGGTGGCACCATTCCCTACACAAGTGGGCCTGGAATTTTATAAGATAACCAAGGAGAGGCATGGGTGGCAAGCAAGCAAGAAAGCAGTTTTCTTCCATGGTTCCTGCTTTGGTTTCCCTTAATGATGGACTGTGCCCTGGAAGTGTGAGCCAAATAAACCCTTTCCTCCCCTAAGTTGCTTTTGGTCAGAACATTTTATCAGAGCAGCAGAAAAGTAGCTAGGACAATTTATCCATCCTGTTCTCACTCCTTTCTCTCTCTGTGGAATCCAACCTAAGTTCTTAAAAATAAATGAGTAAAATCACAAATATAGACATGCATGCTTATGTTTTATTTATTCCTTGGCAATTTCATATATGTGTATAATGTATTCTAATAAAACTCAGCTCTTGCAGCTCCTCAGCCCACAACCTGTTGTCTCTCTTCTTTCTTTGGAACCTCTCCAACATTGTCACTCTGTCTCCCACCCACCTCTCTTATTTCCCTCCCAATCCTTCTGGAAGTCTTCTTCCCAACCCTTTCCCCTCCTACTCCAACTTTCATGTCTTTTTTTAAAAAAAAATAACCCACTGAGTTTAATTAGAACTGCTTGTATGACCACAACTTGCCAGTAGCTACACTACTAAAGAAAAATGGCTTCCCTTCCACCAATAACCATTGGCCAACAAGCCCGCAGAAAGGGAGGGGCCCTCTGAGTCTCATCCATGCCTCCCACATTCAGTCACCAAACTTCACACCCAAACCTTCTGCATCTTCATCATGCTCTGTGTCTCCACCTATCTCTGCCTAATGCATCTCTCCCTATATCCCCTCTTTCACCTCCTCTCTCTATTTGTTCCTGTTGCTCTGTGTCTCCTTTCTTCTTTTTTTCTTTCTCTGTTCCCTGGCTGGTCCCTCTGCCAAGCTGCCAGCTATTTCTCTCTGCTACTTTTGCCACCTCTGTCAGGTCATCAGCAGCCCTTGGCCATCAGCCCAGGGCCTACATTCCCACATCAGCATTTTTCTCAGTTCCACAAATGATGTCAGTACTGCAGCAATGCTGGCTGCAGCCCTGTTTAGAGGGTTTCCTTTTCTACTTGCCTCTGTACAAACCCTGGCAACTTGGCTGACCTCTCTTTTGGGGTTAGCTCTTGCTACTGAGCACTAGAAGGGAACCAGTGTTCATGCAGGCATGGATATGAACAGAGATGTGTGTGATTAAATGACCTCTCTTTGAACCCCTGGGCCTAGCCTGGCCCACCTCAAGCACTGGTTTTTCAGGTGGCCTTGGGTGGCACCATAAGGGATTCCCAGCAGGTAGGCAGGAATGGGTGGGTGGAGGGAATGCCTTGGGGGATTGTGGGAAGCAATTGTGGGAACGAAAGCAAGGGGATTTTTGCAGACTTGTTCATTTGGTCATGAAAAGTTTTTTACCCCAATATCAAGCCTCTCCACCGTCACAGCCAGTCAAACCAAGCCAAATGAAGAATTAGAAGTCCAGAATTAGGGCTGGAGAGATGGCTCAGAGGTTAAGAGCACTGACTGCTCTTCCAGAGGTCCTGAGTTCAATTCCCAGCAACCACATGGTGGTTCACAACCATCCGTTATGAGATCTGGTGCCCTCTTCTGGTGTGCAGATATACATGGAAGCAGAATGTTGTATACATAATAAAATCTTTAAAAAAAAAAAAAACCCTTCCTATAAAAAAACAAAAAGTCCAGAATTAATGTGAGCAAAGTATCCCCAGGTGGTCCCAGGGGAAGAAGAGAAAACCACGAAGAGGGGACTTTAAATACCCTAAAGGGGTGGAGCCTCTGCTAATGGGCTTTCTCAGGGGCCGGGTCTGGAATCGCAGGAGCAGGGCTGGGTGGAGCTTCCCAACAGTTCACCCACTACCCTATCATTTATTCTTCCAATATCCACCCATAAACACCATCATCCATCTACCAGTCCTCTGTCCAAATCATCCGGCAGTCCTTCCCTCCATCCATTAGCCAGCCATCCAAATATATCATCTATTTCTCCATTCCTCCATCTGTATTAGTTGCTTTTCTATTGTTGTGATAAAACACCATGATCCAAAGCAAATTATAGAAAAATGTATTTGGGCTTTTTGTTCTAGAGGGGGAGTCTATAATGTCTGAGGAGACATGACAGAAGTCAGCCAGAGCAGGAAACTGAGAGACCACAACGAGGAGCAGACAGGTGGAACTGGAAGTGGGTAAAGACCATGAGCACTCAGACCCCACCTCCAAAAAATTCTGCAACCTCCCTAAGCAGCACCGCCACCCAGGACAAGTGACAATCCTCACTCAAACCGCCCCCATCCCTCACCCACCCACCCAGGCACTCCTTCTTCATTCACCTTCTTGGCAGTTCATTCATTCATTAGTGTCTGCGATGTGTCAGGCACTGTTGAAGGCAGCGAGGGTCAGAGAGTGAAAGAGTAGCCTGATGGCCGTCCTCACTGACTGGGCCCAGCCCCTCCGGCCCAGGCCACTCTCACACTCTACCCTCCCCCAGGCATCCTCTCTGTCTCAGCTACTGTTCTGTTGCTATGGTGAAACACTATGGCCAAGGCAACTTTTATTTTATTTTATTTATTTATCGTTTTTTGAGACAGGGTTTCTCTGTAGCTTTGGAGGCTGTCCTGGTGAAGGCAACCTTTTTTTTTTTTTTTTTTTTTAGATTTATTTATTTATTATGTTTGCTTCGATGCATATCTGCACACCAGAAGAGGGCACCAGATCTCATAACGGATGGTTGTGAACCACCATGTGGTTGCTGGGAATTGAACTCAGGACCTCTGGAAGAGCAGTCAGTGCTCTTAACCTCTGAGCCAGCTCTCCAGCCCCCAGTGAAGGCAACTTTTAAAGGAAAGCATTTAATTGGAAACTTGCTTACAGTTTCAGGGGGGTTAATCTATTTCCATCATGGTAGGGAGCATGGCCCCTGGAGGACAGGCTGAGAGCTTACATCGTTTTTTTTGGTTTTTCAAGACAGGGTTTCTCTATGTAGCTTTGGAGTCTATCCTGGCACTTGCTCTGGAGACCAGGCTGGCCTCGAACTCACAGAGATCTGCCTGCCTCTGCCTCCTGAGTGTTGGGATTAAAGGTGTGCGCCACCAATGCCCGGCGAGAGCTTACATCTTATCCACAAGTTGCAGGCAGAGAAAGACTGAGCCCGATGTGGGCTGTTGGAAGCTTAAAGCCCACCCTCCATGACATACCACATACAACAAGGCCACACTTACTCTAACAAGGCCACTTCCTAACAATTTCACTAACTGGGACCAAGTATTCACACATAGGAGCCTGTGTGGATTATCTTCATTCAAACCACCACACCCTCTACCCTTCTTCTTTTCCTGCCTCAGACCCCACCACTGCCCTGAGATCAGCTCATGTGTCCAGAAGCCTTCCTTTCTTGGCATCTTTCTCACCACTTGGCTCCCGAGGCTTGTCTGCATAGTCCCAAGGCGGTCCTCATCTGTCTCCTTAGTCAGTGCTCTCATTGTTAGCTTTTTTAAATTTAAAAAAAGATTCTACTCATTCTGTCTTTTGTATGTGTGTACTTGTGCTTGCCACAGCTACATGTATAGATCAGAGGATAACTTGGGTGTGTCAGTTCTCTTCTTCTACCCTGTGAGTCCTAGGAATCAAACTCAGAACATCGGGCTTGGAAGCAAGCTCCTTCATCCACTAAGCCATATTATCTTTTCTACTGAATGGAGTAGGATGAAGGTGGCCAGCTCATTCTCTATTTCCTGGTTCTTTTTTCATGCCCAGTGACAATAACACACAGGGTCCTCTAATATTCCGGACGCATAGAAAATCAAGGCTTCAGACTCAGACCCAAAGTGACTTTCAAATTAACTCGGCCACTTCCCATCTGTGTGAGGGTGGGTAGGATAGTTGCCTTCTAGGACCCTCTATTTCTCACTTGTCAAACACAGCTAAGGATTAAATGAACAAGCATAACCACTAGTTCTGACAGCACTGCACACTAACTGTGAAAGCATCTCAGTGCTGTCACTGAGCTTTAGCCCCTCACCCAGGAGTTCTAGGCAGGAGCACTACCACTGAGCCACACCCTCAATCTCTTACCTGAGGGTTACTAGACCGGTACGCTACCACTGAGCTATATCCCCTGCTCTCACTGAGTGACTCTAGGCAGGCAGGACTCAGGATAATTTAATTTAATCTTCAAAATAATGATGTAGTATCTGATTTTCTAAATCATCAAGGCTGGAATAAACTCTATTAGTAAAGTGCTTATTGTGCAAACATGTTATGAATTTGAGTCCTAGAACCCTCATTTAAAAAGCCAAGTGTGGTGGCACACACCTTTAATCTCAGCTCTGGGTGGTGGAAGCAGGTGGATCCATGGGATCCACAGGCCAGCCAGCCTAGCCTACTTAGTGAGTCCCTGTCCCAAAAAACAAGATAGATGGCACCCTGACACCTGCACATACATGTGCACACGCACGCACGCATATGCACACACACACACACGCACGCACGCACGCACGCACGCACGCACACACACACACATACACGCACACATGCACGCGCGCGCGCACGCGCGCGCGCACACACACACTTGCACACATGTGAACCAATTTTCATCATCTTTGGGGGTGCAGTGACACAGGCCAGTAATTCTAGCACTCAGAAAGCTGAGGCAAGAGGATTGCTAATTTTCATCTGGTCTGGGCTCCATGGAAAAATCTAGTGTCCAAAAAATATTTTTAATTTAAAACTAAGGCAGTTAGAAATAAACCCACTCAAGGTCGTGTCCTGTGCTGAGCTGGCGTTTGAACACAAGTGCACTTTCCTGAGTTGCACAGACGCTAGTTCTTGCTGCAGCTGTCTCAAAGAGTTGGGGCTGCCTCAGATTCACAGTGTTTCTTTGGAAATTTGTCATGCAAAGCTGGCAAGCCCATCTGCGTGTACATTTCTGAGTGTATATGTCACTGCCTGTGTCTCCCCACAGGATGGATTTCTCCTGAATCTTGGTCAGACTGAGCTGCATGGCTGGGATGGGTTGGCTGTGAGACTAGCCACTAAGGCCAGTCACACCGTTGGTGGCAGACACCCATGCATGGCTCCTCAGACTGGGAGAGGACAATAGAAACAAGCAAAGGAGCCTGGGTAGAACAGGAATCTTTTTGGAGGCTTCTGATAACTGCAAAATGCATGCATAGGTTATAATAGGGGAGGGCAACCTAGTTAAAAGGGTTACATTGAACCCAAGGTCTCGCCAGGCAGTGGTGGCTGCACGCCTTTAATCTCAGCACTCGGGAGGCAGAGGCAGGCAGATCTCTGTGGGTTCCAGACCAGCCTGGTCTACAAGAGTTAGTTCCAGGACAGCCTCCAAAGTCACAGAGAAACCCTGTCTTGAAAAACCAAAAAAGAAAAAAGAAAAATGAACCCAAGGCCTCAGACTTGCTAACCCAAACACTCTTCCCCTGGGTTATAGGCCAAGCTCCTCACTGGGGAGTTCTAGACAGGTGCTCTACTGCTGAGCTACATCCCAGCCCTCTTTATTTTGAGACTGGGTCTCACTAATCTACAGAGGTTGGCCTGAAACTCATTTGTAGGCCAGGCTGGCCTGAAACTTGCTATCCTTCCTCACCATCCAGAGTGATTGGGATAAGAGATATCTGCCATGAGGCCTGGCAGCAACCGGTCTTCCCCTGAGTTGTGTTTATTTTGTGTAAATGGTTGGAGGAAAAGGGAGGACAATAGTAATGGCTGAGACCTCCAAACCAACCCTCTGGGCTGGTCTTGTGTAAATCAGGACCTCACCCGCGTGATTGGATCTCCATGGGAGATCTGTGAAATGGGAATAACATGATCGCATTCATCCCTATGCCAAAGTGAAGATTCCAGGAGAAAATATCTGCAAAGCTCTTAACGCATTACACTGGTAATGCTGAGTGGCAATTATTAGCTGCTATTAATACGCCCCCCCCCAAGCTTTCTGCCCATAGTAGTTGGTGCCGGTGCTTGAAGCACATTGACTGGTTTCTCAAACTACATCCCTCGGGGGAAAATTTCATTGTATTTTGCTGGACTTCGGGATTGGGATGCTTTCGCGTCTCAAGGGGACTAGGGCAGAATTCAAATCTAGTGCCGGTGGCTCTACCTCAGACCTGAGACCTCCCGTGGCTAGCTTTTCATTCCTGCCTGCTCCGCTGCTCTCAGGAGGAGGGGGTACTTGTGGCCTTGGACTTCTGAGTCTTAGCCTTCTGAGTCCCTCAGATGGCCTCGCACTGGGTGGAACTGTGCAGCCAGAGTCCAGGGAGGTGCACACCACCGGCATAGCGATTTTGGCTTTTAGGTTGCTAGGGTTGGCGGGGGAAGCGGGGCGGGGAAGACAGGGGGAGGAGCCGAGGA